TTGACTCGGCAGGAAAAGGCAGAATAGTGTCGACAAACTGGATTTAATTGCCTGTTCTTTTTTAAGTGTGCCTTCGAATAAGGAAATGTCTTCAGTGACAGATTTCAAACTGGAATAGATCTCTGGTTAATATTTACTTTTATGCACATAATCTTAATTTCGTCTATGTCTTTTTCATGAACTATTGGTGTGTCTTCTAATGAGAGAAACTGGATAAAAACGAAAAATCTTAGAGCAGTTCTGCGTAACGAAATATAAAATGAGATATAGCTATTAAAATGTTTAATGTAAATCTATTTACAAAAGATGGAATTTAGAAAGTTGGAATATTATATGCTTCAATACATATTAATTTGAGAATCAATAACAAAGAATCGAAGGACAAAAATTAAGATTTTTCTCTAAAAAAAAATAAATTTCATATGAAAAGAGATTTCTATCAAAAATATTCATCTCAATTTAGAAATCAAGATAAAATCAGAAAAAATTAAAAATTGTCCAAATAATTTTAAAATTATTTTTTTTATTTAGATTTCATTAAAACGACAATAAATGATTTTATTGAAAGATACTTGCTTCCAATTTTCCCGCAGAAACAGACTGAATAAGAAATGCTTTTGCTTATGTAGAAATAGCTACCAGAGAACGTTTCTGAACTTTTCTTCTTATATCTGCTTGACAGAACATTATTTTTCAGCTTTATTTTTTAAGATATTAAAGTTTCAGAATGTTATTGATGAAATCTTTATGCTGGGGATAATCTTTACATAATTTTAAATTTCCGCTTTTATGTGCATGGCTTAGACCGGTAGTTTACAATGGCATCATTGCTTGCAGCCTCTCCGTGTTTTTAAGCCACAAGTCAGTTTGAACAATTTTTGAATTGTTTGAATTTCTATCTGAAGCCAGTTTGAATTTATATTTGAAGATTTGTATTTAAACAACAATTATTAAACTTGGTAATGTTGCTTGATATTCGGAGTGCATCCGTGGATAGAGCATTTTATATTTTAACCGTAGATGCTCGTCTTTCAGCTATTTTGAGATGAAATTGTGTTTTTATGACCGATTGAAGGCACCGATAAACACATAGCTTATTCATTAAGCAGAAAGTTTGTGAGCATAGTAGCGATTTTGGCGGAAGATGAAAACAATCCATTTTCTAGTCATGGACAAAAAAGAATTGGTGCATGGAATTGCCGCGTAGAGATTGACCGGAATGGAATTTTGGTAGACGCACGACCAGCTTGGTAGTTAAACATGATTTATTTTTGCATGAAAAAATTTTTAGAAGATATCTCCTTAATTGGTAGAACACTAGAGGTGCTAAATGAGCCTTCCGTTACAATTTTACATCAAATCAAATGCATTTAAAACCGAAACTAACTCATTTTGCTTTAAGATTTCAACCTGAACGCAAGACACTCTCTTTCTGCATTACAGCTTAGATAGACTGATGGTTGCTGCTTCTCTTTTTACCGCAAAGCTATCCAAAATTTAAACGTTTTGAAACAGGCACGAATTAGGGTGCCAGGTTCTTTGTTTGTTCATGTTTGAGAAGTTGACATGTTTTTTGAAATATTGAAATAAAGGTGAATGTTTAACCTGGCTCGGATACCAAGTTCTCATTCATTATGGATCGACACCTTCAGTATTCAGTATCTAGGAAATCAAAATTAATATCATTATTCTAGGTTATCTTCAAATTATATACATGCAATTTAACACATTTTTGAAATTTAGAGGAATTGGCGCATTTTTTTATTTATTTGAAATATTTAAAGCTCTGCTTATAAATTAATTTTCTTTGCAGATTTATAAGTTAATAAATAATGATAATAATAATAAATATATAAGAAGCATATCTCACAAGGTTTTACAAAAGCCCATAAGTTTATACGAAAAAAAATATTACAATTGCGCAAAAAAAAGTCAGTGTGCTGTTTGACTTAGATTCAAAATCTACGACACATTCCAAATAAAGTATGCTAATATAAGCAATGAAATAATTTTTCTGCACAAAATTTGCAAATTCATAATATTGTAATATTAAATTTAGTGCCCTCTTATTTTTACTGTAAGTTATTTAATATTACATATTTTGATATTTTCCTATTTCAAGATTTGTAAAAAATTACACATTTCAGTCACTAGTTTATGGTAGATAAACGTAATTTGAATCGATAAATAATAAATGGATATCATGGATATAAAAATAGACACATAAGATGTCATAATGTAATAAATAAATCATAACTAAAATATTATCTATTAGGTCCTGTGAAGTTAATATTCTTTGATGGTCCGCCCACCAGCGTCCGAGCGGTAAAGTCGCTGAATACTGATAGTTCGGTCCGAGGTTCGAATCTCGCGAACGGGCTGGCTGTATGGGCGTTTTCGAAGTTTTACTCATGCGTAAGGTGTATACGAGGCAATTTCCCTTAGAAAGTCCTCCACGAAGGCATCCTTCTCCTTAGGCAGATAGCCCTCGAGGCTTTGCCGTAATCACATAAACCAAACCAGTCTTTGACAGTCCTTATTATGAAAAAATAGAAGCGCTAATGTAGAAGGACTTAGTTAGAAGGGCGTGCAGATATAATTAATTATTTTGAAATGAGAAATCATCACTTTATATTTTTATGTAACTTAAAAAGTAATGATGTTTTAAATAATGCACTGCTTATGTAAACGAAATTCTCAGCATCCTTTGCAATAACTTTTATTTTACATTCTTAATAGAAACACAAACTCTGTTATCAAACATTAAAACATTATTAATAATTTAAGTATCATAATTATAGAGCTGTAAGGGGATGAAGTAATGAAATAACTATAAATATAGAAAATAATATTAATATTTAACTTCACATAGTTTTTTTTTCTTTTTTTTTTGTATTGGATGTTGTTGAATTCTATTATTATATTAGCTATTCTATTTTTATCCTAATGTTGTAATCCTATTATTTTTACTATTGTTAGCCTTTTCTGTCTTTTCTTATTCTCCTCGCGTTTCTTCTCGAGTTCAGTTAGGGAGAAGACCGTGTGTTTAAACTGAAGTTGCGAAACGTTTAGCTAGAGCGTGGTTTCGTTATTGTGAGCGCACACGTTGTTACTTCTGTCAGCTGTTAACTGAATCCCGGCTTCATATTCTTGTCGCTGAATTTATTATCTTGCTGGTGTAGGTTTTTGAGTCAATCCTTTAGGTTAAATTAAAATTGTGCGGTCTTTCATTACTATTTTCCTTTGAATTTAGTTGTTATATATCTTTTTAAGTTCGTCACCGCAAGTAGTTGGCGACTGTGTAAGCATGTAAGTCCGTACCATATGTAAAATATTGTGTTGAGTTAGAAGGTTCTTTTATATCTTGCCATTGTTGGATTCATCTTTGAGATTTTACAAGAAGTCGCAACTTAGACTTTTAAGTAAATCTAGTTACACTATATGTTAGCAAAGAAGACTAGATCCCACAATGTTAATATTAAAGAGTTGCATTTAATTTTTTGGACATGAAATTTTATTATTGATCAGCTTTAAATTATGGGTTTTAAACAATTCAGTGCAGAATTTTCAGAGAAAGCAGATTATTTTATTAGTACATTTTTATTGGTTTTCAAGTATACTTTCAACATTTCTTTAGTTTTCTTCTTTTTGGCCCTGTCTTGGAATTGTTCACAATTATAAAAGTCTTGGCGACGTTTAAGTTCTATTTTATCTTTGAACAGCTTCTATATGACTAGATTAAAACAGGATATAAATTGCTTTCTCCATGCAAATTGCTTTCTGCATGCATCTTTCTTTGGCTTGTTAATGGTGTGATAGTAAATTGTTTAGTTGCTATGTTGTTTTTGATAGTTTTTTCAATATATTTTGGTATTTCTGTTTGAGTACCATATTTGTGAAATACATTTCGTGAAGACGTAGAGTCTTTATTTTGCTTAATTACCGCCATTTTGTTCGGGGAATCTATCTAACAATATTTTTAATACTTAGTTACTAAGTTGGCTATCTTAACGTTGACTTGAATTTTTGCTTTCATATTTTAATTTCTTATCCATTAACTTTATGGGACAAAAGAATCAAGCAAAATAAAGTATTAAATAATAAGAAATATATAGTTTATCATTCTGTTCCTTACTCTTAGTGCTTTTACTTTATTTTGCTTAATTTTGACTTGTTTAACATTGCGTACACATATGTATATGTTATTTTACTTGAATTCTATTTTTAGGCACATCAAAATCTTAGCAGAATTAATTCATGAAAAATTTCTAACATTGAAATACTGTATTTTATTGTCCGATAATGATATATTCGTAGCCTTTCTTACTTGATATTAAATAAAAGTGCTTTTCAATAAAAAATACCAATTTTCTTTTTTAAATAACCTAATCACAGTTCAGTATTATTCAGCATAGAATATTTTACAGTTACAGAAACTAATTAAATGAATGGCGACACGTGTGGTCATATTCAGACAATCAAATCAAAGACCGCTTGAAATTCTAAAGCAGTCTCCTTTTCAGATGTGATAAACTCTGCGCAGTTCCATGTTTTCAAGATCATTTTTTCACGCTGTCAAAGCAACACTTTAATGCCTAGGAGGCAAAAGACGATGAACGAAAAAAAAAAAAAAAAAGACTCCCACGCAAACACGACAAGGATAAAAGGTGGTGGGAGCTTTAGGGAGGACTTTGATTGAGGAAATCCAGGGGTATCCGGGATCCTGTTCCTTTTTCCCGGACTAGGAAAACCCCCTTTTCCCGAAGGGAAGGAAGAGAGCATAATTCATTAGCATTTCTTGGCTTTAGCCAGGCAAAAGACGCCCTAGTCACCGAAAAATCCTGGCTTTCTGATTGGTGGAAGGGGGGAGGGGGAGAACACATACTTGACACGCGTGTCGGACGTTCCGGGCTCCCATTGGTCGGTTCCTGAGCGCGCGGTTGCGGTCGTGGGTACTAGCCGATTAGTAGGACATTTAGAACTGAAAGTGAGCGGGGGTAGAATCGATTGCCTCTTCAAAATCGAGATCTCATTCAGAGAACAAGCCCGGTACCGGTCCAGGCGGGTTGCAACAGACAGAAAGTGATGATACGATGGACGATGAATCGCGCCAATTAACTGCGGCTTGATATGCATTTATCCTTTTAGAAGAAACCGAGCTGTCTAAGCCAAGAGAAAATTTGCTGACAATTTTATTTCTCGTTCCTCATCGAAATTTGGACGCAATTTGCATTCAAACGTTTTGATAGCTACGAAGACTAACTACGATATGCTGATGACAGTACTTTGAAAGGTGAGCATAATGAGATGTAGGAACTTTTAAATTAGTACATTTGTATTATTTTAGGAAATTGTGAACTGGTTAATATGTTTCAAGATATATCTCCTGATACAGTTCAGTAATTGAGCTTCGAAGAACTAAATACATTATTAACAATTAGATTTTAAGATAAAATTATTTGAGAAAGAAGTTTCTGTAAATCTGCAACGGTATATACCATACTCAACGAGTGACACCGAAAACTGATGCTAAGAAGTCAGCTGAATAAATGATTTATTTATTTTAGCATATAAAGCTATAGTTGGCCAGATTTATCCATGATGTTGCATTCAACTGTTGTTAGTATGGTGTCATGATAATTTAATGAATTTATAAAGAACTATTGCCGTATTATGAATTTTACTGACACCTGAATTTCAAGCAAGAACTTTGCATCGAGTCTGTGAACACTATTAGTTAGTTCTTCAGTGATTCTATATTAATTGTTAAAAGAAACTTTTGAAATACTCTAGCAGTAAATGGCACTGGGAGTTAATCTAGAACAATATCTATTAATAATTAGAAATTAAGGAATTCATATCTGCACAAAAATACCGTTGCACATACTTAAGAAATATTAATTTGTCATGAACTTATTACTATTTGCTTTCGATAAGAATTACATGTTTTTTAGACATTAATTATTGCTGAAAAATGGAAGTTTTTTATCACGTGGTACTGAATACTTGCATTTCATTTTTAACAGAGATGACACGTCGCATCTTGCATCATCCGTAACTAGCTCATAAATAACTGAAAATAAATTCAGTATAACTGATAACTGAAACAAGCCGCGAAATCTAGAGTCTTAAAAATTTAAGCTAAATTGCACTGCGATGCCAGTTTTGAGTTGAAAGAATAGGCTCAATTTATACGTAGACATTAACTGCCCAGCGTTTTAAAGTACAGCTGAACGCACCTATATGCTATGATACTTCTGGTGATGACAGCATCTACGGACGAAAGGCATCCCACTGACCGAAGACTTGTCCGCGGTCACCATTGAAGGGGAGGTGAAACTGCGTTGCTCGGGGGGCGGCGGCGGCAAGGAGCGCGAGAGCAGCGTGGCTCGCGACGGGGACTGTCCCCACCAGCTGCCGTGCCGCTACGGAGCAACCACCGCCGACGTATACCGGCTGTGGATGCAAGGCAAGCCGGACTTCTACGGTAGTGCATCGCCTGTGGCCAATCTACCCATGCTTTTCACAGGTAAAGACACTCATTATTACTTTATCTCGATTATCTGTTTCCGCTTCCCACTTATTGCATAAAAATATATAGGTAATACCGTATTTTTAATTCATAATCCAAGCCTTGACTATTTGATAAGACACTCAACATTCCTGATTTTGGTATCACTCTGGCATTCGAGACATTATTTTGTTTTGAAAATTAATCTGTTAACATATTTTGTTTCAAAAAATTAATCTGTTAACATATATTTTTGGTAATTAACTCTATGAAGGGTTAAAACTTTAGTATCTCATATTCCTTGTATCAGTTTATATATAATTTGATTTATAACTGGATACTGACGTCCATTTCTCTTTTATTCTTTTGCCTCATTCCGTAAAAATTTTCTTATTTCTGTAGTCTGTTATTATGACTCACTATTTATATACATAAAAACATGCTTTCAATTAATTTTCACCTTCATAATTAATGAAAAATGCACTAAACATTTTTGTAAGTGCTAATAGTAGAATTATGTATAGCTGTTGTCATGAGTACGATAATCTCAAAATTTTCGTTGCGAAATGATTCATATTTGTTTTCATTTTGATTAACTAATTAAAATGATTGCTTTCAAAGTTTTTAATTATAGCAAATAATTCAATTCTCACATGCTTCATTTCTAATTGATTTCTAATTCTTAGAAATCGCTCATTTATCTAGCAAGTTAACCATAAATTGCGTATTAAAAGTGAGCTTATTAGACTTTTAAATCATACTCCATTCTAATTAAATGCTACAGATAAGGAATAATTTAGCATTAAGTATTATTTTAATTTAAGCATTCATAATTTTTAGTTCTTTATTCGCTGTATAATAGTCCAATATATGAAAATGTAAATCCGTCTGTAATTTTACATAGTTGTTTTAAAAGCAGTCGGTTTAAATAAATATGTTACAATTGCTTTTATATTTAAAATTAAAAAACAAATTGCACTCCAAATCTTGTTGACGTATTAAAAGTTGCTTACATCTATGAATTATGTATTAATCTATTAATTATGTGTATTTATCTATGAATCTATGAATTCTGCGTATTTTTATTTAGCTAATGTTTGCAAAGATTTCAGGGAAATTTTTTTTTTAGTAAAAGGAAATTTGTGCATTTCGTTTAAAAAAATGGTATCAGAAAAGAGCAAATGTTGGTTTAGCATTTTATTTGAAACCGACAAATTTTGAACATTAAAATCAACGACATTTAGAATCCAATGTAGAATATACGTCTCATATTCATTCACTATATGTGAATTTACACAGCAGGTCATCTTTTCGGAGCTACAGTTTATTTATTATAAACTCAAAGTAATAACATTTTAGATTTTTTTTTTTAGTAAAAGGAAATTTGTGCATTTCGTTTAAAAAAATGGTATCAGAAAAGGGCAAATGTTGGTTTAGCATTTTATTTGAAACCGACAAATTTTGAACATTAAAATCAACGATATTTAGAATCCAATGTAGAATATACGTCTCATATTCATTCACTATATGTGAATTTACACAGCAGGTCATCTTTTCGGAGCTACAGTTTATTTATTATAAACTCAAAGTAATAACATTTTGATTTTTTTTTTAGTAAAGGAAATGTGCATTTGTTTAAAAAATGGTATCAGAAAAGAGCAATGTTGGTTAGTTATTTGAACCGACAATTTGAACATTAAATCAACGATTTAGAATCCAATGTAGAATATACGTCTCTATTCATTCACTATATGTGATTTACACAGAGGTCATCTTTTCGAGCTAGTTTATTATTATAAACTCAAAGTAATAAAATTTAGATTTTTTTTTTTAGTAAAAGGCGAAATTTGTGAATTTGCATGGGCGTTTCGTGGTTTTCCCCATGTGTAACGTGTATACGAGCCAGTTTCCCTTAGAAAGTCCTCACGAAAGGATCCCTCCCCTTAGGCAGATAGCCCTAGTGTGCTTTGCCAAATTAAATACACCAACACCATTTTAGTAAAAGGAATTTGGCATTTCGTTTAAAAAAATGGTATCAGAAAAGAGCAAATGTTGGTTTAGCATTTTATTTGAAACCGGCAAATTTTGAACATTAAAATCAACGATATTTAGAATCCAATGTAGAATATACGTCTCATATTCATTCACTATATGTGAATTTACACAGCAGGTCATCTTTTCGGAGCTACAGTTTATTTATTATAAACTCAAAGTAATAACATTTTAGATTTTTTTTTAGTAAAAGGAAATTTGTGCATTTCGTTTAAAAAAATGGTATCAGAAAAGAGCAAATGTTGGTTTAGCATTTTATTTGAAACCGACAAATTTTGAACATTAAAATCAACGATATTTAGAATCCAATGTAGAATATACGTCTCATATTCATTCATATATGTGAATTTCACAGGTCATCTTTCGGAGCTACAGTTTATTTATTATAAACTCAAAACTTTAGAAGTAAAACATTTTAGATTTTTTTTTAGTAAAAGGAAATTTGTGCATCGTTTAAAAAAATGGTATCAGAAAAGAGCAAAATGTTGGTTTGCATTTTATTTGAAACCGACAAATTTGACATTAAAATCAACGATATTTAGAATCCAAGAGAATATACGTCTCATATTCACTATGTGATTTACACAGCAGGTCATCTTTTCGGAGCTACAGTTTATTTATTATAAACTCAAAGTAATAACATTTTAGATTTTTTCCTTGACTTAAATTAAAATTTCGTTTAAAAATACTACTATATTTAAAAATTAATGTTATGTATGTTATTACGTTTTGTAATAAAATGGTTCTAAAATCTTTCTTTTTCTCTTTCTTAATTTTTCCTCTACCTCAAGTAACTTTTATCTTTGTCTATGATACAGATGTTTTGAGGTTTTTTTTTTTTTTTTTTTTTTTTTTAATGACGAGATAGTAATTAATTTTATGATTTAAGTGAGAGTATTTATGTAGTGCAAAATGAAAATGCTATAATTTTTCAGTCACATTATGAAATATTAGAAAATGCCATTTATTACTTAAACTTGATACAATCTCTAAACGTAAGAAATTGCACATAATCTTCTATTAATTCTCACAATCGTAATAAAACTACTCAAAAAACATTATTTTCGATAATTATATTTCATAAATTTTCAATTGTAAATATAATTTTTACTTTTTATAAATTTAGGAGGAAACCTACACTTTATATAATCACATGTTTAATTAAAAAATTGTACTAAAATTCATATTTTTTTTAGTTACGGATAATTTTTTTTATCGCCAAAGAATCAAGGATTAAAATTTGTGAAAGATATTTAACTAGCAAAATTACTGTATTTAAAAAATTACACAAATAGGATAATTTGGAGTAATTCTATGTCAAGAATCAGCTTCCATTTATTTTGAAAATTAAAAAATTATTGTGTCCAATTTTGGCATGGCATAAACATCTTCAGACAACCACGCAATGTTTATTTTTTTTTGTATATATAAATGCATATGGAAATAATAATTATTCAAATTTCACGGATTTATACCGAAGTAAAAATTTTATTACATAGAGGTCTAATTTTGCTCATTTCTAGAGCGGCAGTTTTTTTAATGTAAAAAGAGTAATTTTTAATACGAAGTGCTAAAATAATTAGACTATACTATGTACACTTTTTTCTATGCATATTTTAGTAAAATGATAATTAAACTTAAAATAAGTCTAATTATTATTATTAAGTGCAACTTATAGAACGGATCAATAAAACTAGAGAGAGTTTTGCTATTTAGTTGTATGAATGGCACTATAAATACTGAGGGGATTTGTCATATGAGTAATACTGCAACTTTATTTATACACTAATAATCAAACTGCTAATACTATAATTAAAATAAGTTATTTTCTGAGCTTATTATACAGATAATATTAGAAAGTTCTGCAGAATTTGAGCATAAGTTTAAACTTCGAAATTTATATTCTATGTTCGAAAATCTTGTAAAATATTAAATTAATAGAAGTGTCATTCTTTTTGTCCTTTTTTTAGTAATATTAATACAAATAAGACGAATAAGGAAAGTGAATATCGTTGAAAGCACTTATAAACTGTGACATAAGGCCGACGTATAACATGTCAAGCAGATGATACATGTAAAATAGCCTATATAATTTATGTTAACGAGACGCATTTCAGAACCGAAAATATTTAGACTGTATTTTGTACTTTTGCACTTTCATCGCTTTATAGTTACAAGTGTAATTTTCAATAATATTTGATTAAATTATTCCGAGAAAAACTCCGTATTTATGTTTTTAGACAAAGTTTCTATATCCTGAAAATATAATTATGAAAATTATAAAACCTGCTTCTGAAATTTACGTTCAATTAAAAGTCATATGGCACAGAATGTGTACGCAAATGTTTCTGCAGTGGAATTATTTCTAATTTGTAACATTCTGGGTAAGAATTCAATATTTTTAATAAGAATTTCCTCTAATGGAAAAATATCAAAATATTCACATTAAATGACCACAGAATTTTGTATCTTATAATTTTCTGCTTACGTATGCTATAGGTCTATTGTTACGTATTATTAAATTCCTTTTCATTTAGAAAATTCTTATATTGATTGTAATCGTTTCGTAAATAAATCTAACATCGTGGTTTTCTCTTAAATTGGTAAGATATTAAAAAAATTCCAGAGAATCGTGCAAACAATTTTTGATTGAACATTGAAATTTACGAGCGGATATTTTGTATTACTAAATTAAAAAATACAGGAAGAACAGTTGCAGTGTATACAGTTGTGTTGTATACAGGAAGAAAAGTGTGTGTAGTATTAGCCTTTATTACTTTTGAGCAAATGTTTAAAACAATTAAATTTAAAGAAAATTAAAAAATAACCTTAAGAAGAGAACGGAAAGGCTGATATCTGAAGTAAAAAGACGAAATTAAATCTTTTCGGCAACTGCTCAGATCTAAATTATTCTTGACGTATCTAAATAACGCGTAATAAATTTTGAATACTAATCGAAAAGAAAT